ATTCTGACCCACAGCGCCCCTAGAGGACAGAGTGGAGCTTCCCCCCAGGGTTTCCAAGGCTGTCAAATCTTAATGGAAGCTAGCTGGCGCATCTCCGTGGAGTGGCTGGTGGGGTCAAAGCGCCAACCTTTTGATTTGTGGCTGAATGCTTTAGCCACTGCACCACCAGGCCCCTGCTGCACAGACAAGCTCTCCTTGTGGTCTGACCTAAGCCAGGACTTCATGTAGGAATGTCTGCTGGCAAACGAGTGGAATTGTGTGTTGGCTTTGAGAGGAGGACCGGTTGTAGGATTGTATTCTTTGCAGGGCAGTCCCCTTTACATCCCCTCAGCCAGTGACAAGAAAAATTCCCCGCTTGTAATCCAGGCCTCACGTACAGTTAGTCTCCCTCTGGCTAACAAACATGGTGGGCGTGGAGGGCCTGCCACTGCTGAGGCACCAGGCAGAGGATGAGTCCTTTGAGCCGTGTCATCAGCTGTCAAAAGGACAACTGGGAACTGAAATTGGAGGTCTTTTTCAACTCAAAGCCCTGCTGCCTCCAGTTACTGCTGTTCATACACCATCTCTCTTAGAGCAGACTTTCAGACACGCTTCACGCACGCAGTATTGCCTGGCGTGGGTCTGCTGCCTTGACCGTGGATATGTGGTGAGTCCTAGCATGTGCCTCAGGAGGTCTGGTAGCACAGGGTCTAAGGTATTTGACTTCTAACCAGAAGGTTGGCGGTTCAAACCCACCAGCTGCTCTGCAGAGGGAAGACTGGCAATCTATTTCCGTAAATATTTACCACTTCAGAAACCGAGTGGCAGTCGCTATGAGTGGTAATTGACTTGATGGCAGTAAGTTGGGTTTTGGGTTTTAGTGTGTGCCTGGCCAGTACTAAGACCTCGGGAATATGGAAGTGGAATGGCAGGACTCAAGGAGCTCTCCTGCTCGGAGCTAGCACAGTACGGGGGCTGCTACTGTTTTTTCCACAAAGTTGCTGAACTTGGAGTTGCAGACCCTCTGATCCAGCCCACTCACGGTCACCTGCACTGCAGCTGATACACAGCCCCAAGGGTTTGACTTCATGATGCTGGCCATACGCTCACTAAAGTGCATGGAAGACCACGAGGACCTCATTCTCTGGGTGACACCAACAGCCGTGGGAGGGCCTGCCGTGTGCAGGGGCTGGTGAAGAAGCCTTCGGCGGCTCCCCTGACGGAGCCTATGGGAACAAGGCTGCTCCCAGCAGACAGCACTCTCCATTCTTGGGGCTGGGTTCAGTCTAATGAGCTTAAGCTGTTGTTTCGTTCTGGGGGTGTTGATGAAATAGAACCAACTCTGACAAACGGTAAGGCTGAATTTGGAAAGTTAAACAGGAGGAATTTGGAAAGTTAAACAGAGTCTTTAAGTAGCTCTAATGCACGTACAGGCCCATGCGGTTTCATTTACAGGTTTCCAGGCAGAAGCAGGATTTGGGAGGAGCTAGGCCTCCACTGTGAAGGGGACCTGGAAGTTCAGCCCTGCAATGAGTGGAAACCTGGCGCCTGGCCTGTCTGGGCCTGGCCTGACCCAGCCTGACAAGCCTGTTTGGAGATGAATGAGGTTGGTAGCCACAGAAAAGCTCTGGCGTCAGTGGCTAATTGGAGCTGCCCGGGTGGTGAGCGGTCTTTTCCAAGTTGGCCTGCCATTTGATTGATCAAAATGACAGGGGGACTGTCCCCAAAGGGCCCAGCCCTCAGGACCGCATTCCTTGGATATCTGTGCTGCGCTCAGGAATGGAAATCTCTCGACACCAAGGATTCACAGCCGCCATGGGGCCCCTTCAGGAGCTCTGGTGGTGCATTGGTTAAAACATTTGGCTGCTAATGAAAAGGTCGGTGGTTCAATCTCACTGGGTCAGAAGAAAGATGAAGCAGTCTGCATCTGTCAAGATGACAGCCTCGAAAACCCTGTGGGGAAACTCTACCCTGTCCTACAGGGTCCCTGTGAGTCGGAATCCATTCCATGGCAGTGGGTGGGATGTGGGTATGAGACCCCTTAAAGTTAAGCATCCCTGGTGGTCCCGCAAGGGTGAGCAAGCCATCAGCCTTTTCTAGCTCAAGCGGATGGTTGAAGATCAGTCTGAGTTTCGCGAGGCCTACCCCAAAGCTGATGGCCCCAAGCAAAGCCTTGGCCCAGCCCCATGGTGCCGGTCTGGGGGCGGCTACCGAAAAATTAGCGGCCCTTGGGGCCTGGACAAGGCTTCTCCGGATCCCAGTGCGAAGGCTCCCCTTTTGAGTTTTGGGGCTTCGCTCTGGCGGAGCTTTCTGGGGGCGGGGCGCGTTCTCACGCGGAATCCTGGGGGCGCGCGCATAGGGCGCCCCCAACCGGAGCGAACCGGGCGCCCGCGTTCCAAACGTCCGCAGCCGGCAGCAGCGGGAGGCCAGGGCTCGGCGCGGAGGGTCGCTGTCCCCAGACCCTGCCCCCGCGGACGCGGCTCCCAGGCCGGCTCCGTGCCGTGACTGTTCCCGGCGCAGGGCCCCAGTGAGTGGCCGGCCGCCTCTCCCCGCGCGGGCGCTGACCGCTCCCCCGAGGGCGCACGTCCCCGCCGGCCATGGCCGCCAGCCCCGTCTCCCTCCTGGAGCTGGCCGACCTGGCCATCGGCACCCCCGAGGTGGGCGCCGTCAACTTCACCGCCCTCCACTCACTCATCGTGGCCATGCTCAAAAGCCTCAACCTCCACGAGACCCAGATCGACTTCCAGTCCCAGGCCGCGGAGCAGCTCCGGTACCACGGGACCCCCCGGCCCTCCGCCAGCGCTCCGCAGCTGTCCGCGTCCAAGGAGAGGCGGAGGAGTGTGAGCAGGCCGTCCCCCCAGGGGCTGGAGCGCCAGGTGGAGGAGCTGGGGGGGCAGGTCCAGGGCCTGCACAAGCAGCTCAAGACCGTGGAGGCCCAGGTGGAGGGCGTGGTCTGGCACGTGCAAAACCTCACCGCTGCTGGGCTGGGGCCCGACCTCCGGGAGTGGCTGGGGGAGAGGACAGTGACCCCCACCCAGGGGCCCGAGAAGGCAATGACCACCCTGGCGCCCCAGAAGAAGCTGGCGCCCGAGGGGGTGTCCAAGAAGAAGCTGGAGAAGAAGCCAATGACCATGCCGGTGCCCAAGAGGACGTCAGTGACCTCAGAGCCTTCTGAGAAGCCGGAGACCTCACTGATGTCGGAGAAGTCGGAGACCTCACTGATGTCCGAGAAGTCGGTGACCTCACTGATGTCCGAGAAGTCGGTGACCTCACTGATGTCCAAGACGTCACAAAGCGGGACATTGAGAGCCATGAAGGACGGTGAAAAGGCCGAAGTCAGCATCACCCAGGTGAGCAGGCAGATGTGTTCAAACCCGCTTCTTCCTACATCCTCCTGCCTCTTCTTCCAACTCCAAACCCTCCACGTGAGCCTACCAGACGCTCAGGAGAACGATCTCTCCTTCTCTGTCCAGAAAGCAAAGACCCCAGGGGAGGTCTCCACCTGCCGCAGCTGCCCCACTCAGAGCGCCGGCTCCTCTCTCCTCATGGGCCGTGCGTCAGCCCTCAATACCCACCACTCTCCTTTACCTTTTCCGTGGGTCAAACCTGCTCTCCAGCCACTGCTGGAGCTTAGTCCCCACACCGCGGCTGTCACGGGTCTCTGGTGCGGCCTGGTCCCGCCCACTACCTTCTCCCTTGCAGGCCATGGGGCTGCTGCAGGACGTCATGCAGGAGGTACAGCTCCTGAAGGAAGCCCACCAAAAGGAGCAGGAGCTCTCGGAGCTGAAGCCCCAGGTGAGAGGCTCCAGACCCCTCCCCACGGCCCCTCCGCCCCTGTTGACATGTGGCTCACCCACCACCCCAGCTCTGGTGGCATAGTGCCTAAGGCACTTGACTGCTAACCAGAAGGCTAGCGGTTCAAACCCACCAGCCACTCTTCAGAAGGAAGATCGGGCAGTCTACTTCCGTAGTGATACTGCCTCGGAAACTCAAGGAGGGGTCGCTGTGAGTTGGGGCCGACTCGATGGCAGGCCGGAGTCACAGTGTTCTTAGAGCAAGTTCCCTTTTTCAAAAGGTAAAGGAGAGTGGTGGGTATTGAGGGCTGACGCACGGCCCATGAGGAGAGAGGAGCCGGCGCTCTGAGTGGGGCAGCCGCGGCAGGTGGAGACCTTCCCTGGGGTCTTTGCTTTCTGGACAGAGAAGGAGAGATAGTTCTCCTGAGCGTCTGGTAGGCTCACGTGGAGGGTTTGGAGTTGGAGGAAGAGGCAGGAGGATGTAGGAAGAAAGCCGTAGGGAGAGGGTGGCAGGGAGACCTGGGAACAGAGAGGAGAAAGCGGCCCGTGGCCGCCACCCCAGACCTGGGGACCCAGCAGGAACTCTCTGGGAAACACCACCGCTTTTCTCTGCAGACTTGAAAGTGTGCCGACTTGTTTGCAGAAGAGAGGCTCGTCTTACCTTGCGCCCTGTGGGTTGCAGAAGTGATAAGGAGCAGCTTCGCTTTCATCAATTTTCTTTGGTCCTTTTTTTTAACAAAGTGAAAATGATGACATAAATGCCCCATGGCAACAGTCTCTGTGTGTACATGTCAGTGGCGCCAAGTAGCTTCCTCACGTTGTGCCACCATCCTTCTCCTTTTCCAAAGCTGTGGGCTGTCGAGAGGTTCCCTTTGTACACAGTGCGGATTTTGAGGTGCCCCTAGACTCTTGTTCCTTGAGGACTGAGGGTGGCCTCATGCCACGGTGCCACAGGGTCTCGTTCGTGGGAGGGTGGCATGAAGCCCAGGACCAGGATTCCTGCCCTGGGTTAGCACTCACTCTGGGCACGCTGCCTCCGGGACCACCCCAGCCCACCGCAGTTCCCTTCCTCTGGGCTGACTGGCTGACACGACTAAGGGCCTGGCTTTGCCGACCAGCTTTCTACGCCCACTGCCCTACAGGCCACAGGCCTCCTTGTCCTCTTCTCCCCTGCACTGGGCCAGCATGTACACATGCACACACGTGTGTGTCAAGTGGGTAGGTGTGAGTGTGTGAGTGTGAATGGGTGAGTGTGCACATGTGTGAGTGCAGGTACTTGTGGAAATGTGTGAGCATTTGTGTGTTAATGTGTATGTGCACATGTGTGTGAATGTGTATGTATGCACACGTATATGAATGTGTGAGCATGTGTGACCATGTGTGTGAGCATGTGTGGCCATGTGTGTGTGTGACCACGTGTGACCATGTGTGTGTATGTGTGACCATCTGTGTGTGAGAGCATGTGTGACTGTGTGTGTATGTGTGTGAGCATGTGTGACCATGTGTGTGTGAGAGCATGTGTGACTGTGTGTGACCATGTGTGAGTGTGTGTGAGCATGTGTGACCATGTGTGTGAGTCTGTGTGAGCATGTGTGACCATGTGTGTGACCATGTGAGACTATGTGTGTGTGACCATGTGTGTGTGTGAGAGCATGTGTGACCATGTGTGTGTGTGAGAGCATGTGTGACCATGTGTGTGTGTGACCATGAGTGACTGTGTGTGAGCATGTGTGACCATGTGTGTCTGTATATGTGTGAGTGTGTATGACCATGTGTGACCATGTGTGTGTGAGAGAGCATGTGTGACCATGTGTGTGTGTGTGTGACCACGTGTGGCTGTGTGTGTGTGTGACCATGTATGTGTATGTGTGTGGGAGCAGTGTGACCATGTGTGAGCAAGTGTGTGAGCATGTGTCTGCATGTGTGACTGTGTGTGTGAGCATATGTGACCATGTATGGCCGTGTGTGTATGTGTGACCATCTGTGTATGAGCATATGTGACTGTGTGTATGTGAGAGCATGTGTGACTGTGTGACCATGTGTGACTGTGTGAGCATGTGTGAGCATGTGTGTGTGAGAGAGCATGTGTGACCGTGTGTGTGTGGCCATGTGTGACTGTGTTTGTGTGTGACCATGTGTGACCATGTGTGTGTGAGAGCATGTGACCGTGTGTGTGTGACCATGTGTGACTCTGTGTTTGTGTGTGAGTGTGTGTGAGACCATGTGTGTGACCATGTGTGGCCATGTGTGTGTGACCATGTGTGTGTATGAGTGTGTGTGAGAGCATGTGTGGCCATGTGAGTGTGTGTGAGACCATGTGTGTGAGCACGTGTGACCGTGTGTGTGTGTGAACATGTGTTTGTGTGTGAGCCTGTGTGACCATGTGTGAGAGTGTGTGTGTGTGTGAATGTGTGTAAATAAAAGGAGGAGGTGCTTTGAGGTGCTTTGATCCTCTGCCTCTGAACTCTTCTTCCAGAAGGATCTTGAGAAGCGCGTCGAGCTACTGGAGAAGCAGAACCAAGAACGGGAGAGCTTCATGGTAATGGCCGCCCTCTGGAAAGGGCCCTGGAAGGGGCAGGGAAGGACGGTAGCCCCAGCCCAGCCTCTCTCAGGAGCACCTCCCGCTCGGCTGGCTGCATCTCCTCCAGGGGGGCAGTGTGCTCTCTGCCTCCGGGGCGCTGTGCTGGGTTGAGGGAAATCCCAACCATGCCCAACACTCCACCTGCGGCCCGGGGGGAGCTGAGGGCAGGCCACCGTGGCTTCCCCTGCGGCTGCGGCTGTGGAAGCCTGACCCGATACTGAGAGCCCCAGGTCTCCCTCAAACTTCCCAGGATTAAACTAGGGGCTGGGGGTGTGGTGTGTGTCTGTCTTGTCAGAACCAAGTGGACCGGAAGTTGAGTCTGATTCCTATTGGAGAGGACGTCACCATGGTCACTTGGGAAGAGCTGGAACAGGCCATCACTGACGGCTGGAAGGCTTCTCAAGTGGTACGCAAACCAGGGCCCAGGCAGGGGTCTCGAGTGGGGTCCCCCAAACCTCTTCCCTTCTCAGGGGTGTACCAGTTGCCATCAGGTTGATTTTGACCCTAGAGATCCCATGTGACTCAGGAGAGCTGCCCCATAGGGTTTCCTAAGTGGCCATTTTTATGGAACCGGAGCCATGTCTGTCTCCCACACGGCAGCTGGTAGGTTCAGACCGCCAACTTTGAGTTGGCAGCTGAGCGCTTTAATGACGCGCCACCAGGGCGTCTTCACAACAGCGTGGTATTCCCGTATATGGGTGTCCGTAATTTGTTTCACAGACTCACAAGGTCCTTCGATGGATATTCTTAATGTTTTCCTCCATCTTGTAACAGACAGTGCCCCCACCATAAGGTCCACCGGTGTGAACATACTCATGAAATCAGTTCCTAGAGCGCAGCGTGTATTTGTGATGTCACTAGCTCTTGCCAGATTGCCTTCTGTGGATGCTTTGTTTGTGACTCCACCAGCCACATGGGAGAGAGCCTGCTTGCAGAACAGCCTCCCACCGGCTCTGTGTCAGCACCCAGTGTTTTGAGCTTGGCCAACCTGTAGGGTGAGCAACGGTGCCGAATGCAGCTTTAATGTCCTTCTGCAGCTTTGCCCACGGCCTTTGCAGTCTGCCCTGGAATGCATTGGTCCCTTCACGATGGTGCACAGGGTGACCAACCACCTTTAGGGCCCTTTGCTAAGTCGCAGACCTGCGTCTGTCTGTCCTGAGGCTGTACACAGGATGGCCAAACTGTATTCTAATCCTCAGCCTGCCTTCATCTGGATAAAATCAACCTGAGTGTTTCCAGATGGCCCTCAAGGAGGAAGAAGAGCAGCCTTCTTCCTCGCTTTGTGGGACTGGGTTAGTCAGACAGCATCACACAAATACAGATCGTCAGGCTGAAGGGAGTGGGGCTGTGGGCGCCACCATGTGGCCATCCGGGGAGCAGCACGCATTGTTGGCTGCCGTCCGCTTGTTTAGCAGCCGGGTGTCACAGAGCAGACCTGCCCACAGGATTTTCTTTTTCCAACAATGCTTTGTTGTGTTGAAGGTGAGAGTTTACACAGCAAATTAGGTTCCCATTTTACAGTGTTTGCAGGTTATTCGGTGACGTTGATTCTGTTTCCACTGCGTGTCACGCTCTCATTGACTGTTCTGGTGGTGCCGTTTCCAGAGTTCTGGTTTCCCGGCCTCCTTACCTTCTCATCGTTGCTTTGGAGCAATTTCTGACCATTTGGCTCATAGGGATGGTTTCTGGAAGGAGCTCACTGCCCTAGCAGTCAGTCTGTTATTTAGCCAACAGGTGACCTCAAGGGATATTTGGTTGAAGGCTTAAAGAAAATCTTGGGTGATAGTCTAGGGGAGTCCTCTAGTCTCAAGTGGTCCGGTAGATCTGTATTTTTTTAAGAATCTGAGTCCTGTTCCACATCTGTCTCCCCTTCTGTCAGGGTCCATCTACTGTGACCCTGGTCAGAGCAGTCAGTAGCACTGGCTGGGCACCATCTAGTACTTCTGGTCTCAGGGTAGATCAGCCGTGGTTCACAGACTATTAGTCTGTAGAGTGTCTTCTTCCCTAGGTCTTTGGCCCGTAGGGTTTCCCAGGCTGTAATCTTAGCAGAAGGAGATCATCACATCTTTCTTCCATGGAGCCACTGGGTGGGTCTACACCACCAGCCTTCCAGTGAGCAGGCAAACGCTTCACAGTTTGGACAACCAGAAATGCTTTGGTAAACATTATCTGGGTGCCGAAGGCACCCTGCCAGTCTCTGAGGCTGTTGCTGAATTTGATGCCTGTCCTCAGATATGTTGTTGTTATGTGCCGTTGAGTTGGACCGACTCATAGCGACCTCTCCTTGGGTTTCTGAGGCAGTATCACTACGGAAGTAGATTGCCCCATCTTCCTTCCGAGGGTCCTCAGATATATAAATATATACATATATATGTACGTATGTATATATTTATACACACACACACACATATATATATAGGTTTGGCCAAAAGTATTTTTTTTTAAGGATCTAGTAGCTCTTTTTATTCTTTTTGTTTGTTGGTTTGTTTTTATTATGATTGGGGTGAAAGTTTACAAAGCAAATTCATTTTCCATACAGCAGTTTGTACACATTTTGTCTCATGACATTGACTGCAATTCTCTACAATGTGACAGCTGTCTTCCTACTTCTTCCCCATAGGCAGAGGGTATTTCTACATATGTATTTGTCTGTGTTGGAACTATAGCCATGTATGTAGTAGAGCACATAGGGCCTAAAGGTGTGAAAACTTCTTAGCTGTGACCGAACCACACTGAAGGACTGAATCACTGGACTTCAGGACTTAGGACCATAGTCCTTGGAAGATGTCTAGGTCAATGGGCATAACATAATCTGCGAAGAATGTTCTAGGTTTTACCTTGGTCGGTAGTAACTGGGGTCCTAAAAGCCTGTGAGCATCCATCCAAGACACAGCTATTGGTCTCTCCCATTTGGAGCAAAGAAGAGTGAAGAAAACTAAAGACTCAAGGAGAAAACTAGTCCAAAGAACTAAGGGACCACATGAGCCATGGCCTCCCCTGGTCAGAGCCCACAGTGGCAGCTCTGGTCAGGGTCACCTGCAGTAGCAGGCCTTGGATGAAGCAGGAGAACAGATATTAAAATAATACAAAAGACCAGACTTACTGGTCTGCCAGAGACTGCGGGAGCCCCAGAGACCCTGGGCCCTAGATACCCTTCAAATCTAGAAACAACCCACCTGTGATGATCACCTTGCAGCTAAAGATTAGACAGGCCTATGAGAGACTGGATGTTTTTAAGATCAACTATGGGCTTGGTAGGAGCTCTGGTAGCATAGTGCCTAAGGCACTTGACTGCTAACCAGAAGGCTGGCGGTTCAAACCCACCAGCCACTCCTCGGAAGGAAGGTTGGGCAATCCTACTTCCGTAGTGATACTGCCTCGGAAACCCAAGGAGGGGTCGCTATGAGTCGGGGCTGACTCGATGGCAAATAACAACAACAACAACGGGCTTGGTACATGCTCGGAATCAACTCGACAGCACCCAACAACATGGGCTTCGGGAGGAGCTCTGGTGGTGCAGTGGGTTAGCGCTCAGCTGCTGAGAGTTGGCGGTTTGAACCCACCAGCAGCTCTGTGGAAGAAAGATGTGGTGGCCTGCCTCCGTAAGGATTTACCGTCTTAGGAACGCTGTGGGACAGTTCTCCACCCAGTAGGGTCGCTATGAGCAGAATCCACTTGACAGCAATGAGTTAATCTTTACGGAAGCAGACTGCCACATCAGAGAAGGAACCAGATGACAGGACTAAATGTCTCTGTGAACCATGGCCTCCTCTACTGAGACCAGAACTACCACTGCTGAACATGCTCGTCACTGTAGACGGATCCTGACAGGGCAAAAAGTGTGACACAAACTTCACCTTCTCAGAGTTGGTTCCTTTTGGCCACATGATCAAACGTGAGACCAGGTCTGGCCATTCTCGCTTCTAAGGAACATTCCAACTGTACTTTCTCTGATACAAATTTGCTCGTTCTTTTGAGTCCGTGGTTTCTTTTTTAATATTCTTTGCCAACACCATTCAAAGGCATTGACTCCTCTTTGATCTTCCTTATTCATTGTTTAGTTTTCACATGCACGTGATGCTGTTGAAAATACCATGGCTTTGGGTCAGAGGCATCTTAGTCTTCAAAGAGACATCTTAGCTCTTTGACACTTTAAAGAAATCTTCTGAAGTGGATTTGCCCAGTGCAATACTTTGATTTCTCGACTGTTGCTTCGGGGGCGTTGATCATGGATCCAAGTGGAAATTGGGGTCTTCAAATAGCTCTGATGGGAATTATTGATTTCTCTGATTGCTTGTGGCAAAGCTAAGGTGATGACTAGTTGGAGATCTTTTACTTCATGACCCAAAGGCTAGTAGTAGTGCAGTTTAGGAAGGGCTTAGCAAGATTTAACCTGACTTTAACTAGCTGGGCAGAGTAAGTCTGACCTCATGGCATGTCTCCAGGGAAATAGAAATAAGAATTTGGTGTTGTGCTGAGGCACGGAAATACAAGGTCAGGGACTTCAGTGAAGGCAGTAAGGAGAGGAAGTGTGGGCTCAGGAGGAGGCACTGACTGCCCCAGGAGCTCACAGAGTAACAGGATGACAGGTAACGGGGCCTTAGAAGGAAGGCGTGTCAGCCAAATCGGCAAAGTAGCTGGGAGATTCTTAGGGCCCGGGGGGTGGTGAGTTTATGGTAATAGAAGAGGGATTAGGGAAAGGAGCTGAGGGTGGTTGTACAGTTTCAAGGATGTGATCACTGGCACTGAAATGTACAGGTAGCAGCTGTTGAATTGATGTGTGTTCTCCTGTGTGTATTCTGAGCAACAAGAATAAAAGTAAAATAAAGAAATACATACTGCCTCCGAATATCTTATTCTTGATTCTAAAATGAACGTCTCTCTCTTTCTTTCTTTTTCTTTCACATTTTAACATCTCTGAAATAAGGATGAGGATGTGTCTTAGAGTTGATGGTGTTTTATAATTAATTGGTGGTGTTTTTTCTTTCCCGTTGATGCATTTGCAGATGATACCATCTTAGACTTGCTGGAACATGGAAGAACATGTGGTACATGTAGAAAGTTCTTTGAGAGTGATGATCTCAGAAGGTGTCGGGTGTTGAGTGACTGACATCTGTGACCTCCACATACTTGATTTGGAGGTGTAGGCTGTAAGAGGCAAGGCAAAAGAGGGGTGCTTCTAGTTCTAGGTTTTCCTCCCAGGAAGGGGACTGTGTAGCTGTGGGTTAATTAGTTAGACCTTTAGAAGTTGATTCGAGAACATGGATTCTGTGAGGAGATCAGTGTGGGCGTTTGGTATTTTCCGTTTCTGTATCCTCAGCAAGAACACAGGTCTCAGTCAACGCCATTCATGAAAGCGGTCCCAACTTTTCTGGGGCCCCTCTTTCCCCCTTACCTCTGTAGCTG